CAGTTGTGTAGACGGAACTCTTGACCCATGGAGAAGGGATAACAGCAGTGGAGACAGCAAAGTAGGGAAGTTACCTGAGGGCATAGGAAGGAATCAGATCAGTGGACTAAACAGGAAAACATGAAAACAAAAACAGTTCTCTGCTACCAGACAGAAGACTGCCGCTATGAGACAACTAGCTAAGGAGCCTGTGTAGAGGAAGAGCAAACCTAACTTCTATATTAAATGGATGACTTTAGGCACTGGGTAAATATGGTAAGTATCCCTGTTCTTCTCTTGGGATTTTGGGCATGCACGTACACATGTCCAGCGTGATTTTTACACCACCGGGTCTGGGATTTGACCTGCGGTTGACTACGTGGAAATCAGTGACATAACTATTACACCATCTGTTGGTCCCAATCATGGTAAATTTTAAAATACAGGAATTGTAGAGAATTTTGATAATTGGCTTTTCACATTCATAAGGTTATTTTTGTTCAAAGCAATAGTTGAACAACCTTGGAACTCTTGGCACATATTTCTTTTTTTTTTTTTGGCAACTATACCTATTTGAAAATGAGGTCAAAACAGAAACTTCTCCTTTTTTATTTGGCAATTTATGAGTGTCCTATCCTTCAGTATCTCTCAATTTCTCTCTCTCTCTCTGCTTTTTCCCAATTCTCTCACCCTCCCCTCTTTCCTGACAAGGTTCACTAATCTTGGCAGTGGTTAGACAGACATCATCAGACCCCAAGGTAAGGAAAACAGCCACGGCCCAGGTTAGAACCATGGAGGGGGGTAAACCTTCCTTCACATCCACTAAAGAAACTCAATGCTTCTGAGACTCATTTTGCAGAGAACTAGGATGGCTAGTAGAGAAAGGAAACAAAGAAGATGAGAATTTACTCTCCCAAATGATCTTTCCTTAACCCTACCAGTTTTAGAGACTTGCCTAAACTCTTGTGCAGGCAAACCTTGGATTGGATTGTAGTTTGCAAACGAAATGAGAATAAAATTACCTAGAAGGCTTTCAACGCTCTTCATAATACAACCAATGGAACTATGACTGCGAATCTTCAGGGAAGGGTGAATGTAAGTCCCATACAAAGTCTCCAAGGGTTAGCATTCTAATTAGAAAGGGGATTCATCTGTGGAGAAGGCATTCATGTAACTCTTCACTATCAATGAAGTAGTTTCAACAAATTAATGGTGGGTAGTCCTGTGCATGCACTACTCACATCCTACTTAGAATCTGCTGAGATCAAGATAGATGGCGCCCTCCAGCTATCACACCTTCAGAATCCACTGCTATCATCACCCCAGGGTCACACTCTCCCCTAAATTGCTCCCAAGAAATGATTCAACACGGTGAATGGGAAATGGCTGGCTACTTGTGTCCAAGCAGGACTCCGCCAACAGAAAATCTTTTCTCTAGGACTCTCCATTGCTCCAGCTGACACTTTCTCACAGCTCATTGCAGGCAGGTTCAGGCTTTTCCTATCCAATGCTGCTTCTTTACACTCATTCTTTCACAGATGCTGAGCCCATATCTAACAGTCCAGTGGCTCTTACAACCTGCTCCTGCTGCCTCCCCATTTTATCTTTGAGACATTAACCCTTATAAACCTGCTGCACATCTAGCATTGTTTTGGTGTGTGCTTCTGTACAACTCTTGGCTTACTTATATAATAAAAGTTACCATATTTATTAACCAGTAAAAGGAAGAAAAATGGATTGATTTCATCAAAACATACACCTTCTGGTCTTATCTCTCTTTATTTTCCCTGTTTACATTTTCTTTCTCTTTCTCCCAGATTCCTTTCCCAGACCTGTCTGATTTTTTTAAAAAAACAGATGGAAAAGTAGAGTGAAGTTTGGCAGGCCTTTTCCAGCAACACTTACAGGAAATGTACAAGGAGCTGAGAAGAAACCAGAAACAGAATTGTAAATCCAATTATCTGGCTTCAAAGTGTCTAGATTGTTCTTTCCTTGACACTTGAGAAGAGGGATGGGGCAGGATGAATATTGTTAGGGACGCTTACATTTGAAAAGTGAAGGATGTCGTAGCCTTGCCAGGAAGAAGCAAAAAATTGCCTATTGTAAAAATCTGCTCCAACTTTCCAGGATAACAGGAGTGGTGATATTTAGAGGAATGATATTAACATTTCATTCTAGTAGGAAAGCTATTTTTAAATATTTAGAGGAAAAGAAAAATAAGCAAATCTTTTTAAAAGACTATGTGATCATACTTAAATACATCCTTCAGTTTTTTTCCAGAAGGAATAAGCAGTCAGTTAGTGACAAAAATATTAGATAACTGAAAATTATCTTTCTCTTCCCATATCATCTAAACTCCAAAGTCCCTTAGAAAGCCCCTGAAATAGTCAGTGTCTGCAAAAATAATAATGTGAAAACTATTCAAAATGCAAAGGTGACCTATATAAGGTTGACACTTACACAGCATGAACTTAACACCAACATGGATGTAGATAAACTCTGTCACGTTGACAAAGATAAAAGTCCATGTTCAATTCTGAGTTAGGAAACCAAGAGATGAAGTGATGGATGCTGTCGATGGCAGGGAGGTATGGAATTATTAAGTCATAAACTCAGAGAAAACGCCAGGATCGTGATGCCATGTTACACTTTTTGATAATTAAATTAAAATTTAAATTATATTCTAAAATAATCATGTTATCTGATGGGTCAAGTTATCATTTTTGGTAAACTTACACAGTTTGCATGAGGTAGTGCTGAGTAAGTTATCTATTTATTACTTGAATTATCCATGGGTAATTCATAGTAATCCTTTACCACAGTTGATTTCCATAACTTATTTAAAATACTGTGGCATTAGAATAGAAATGCAATTCTTCACATATTTATTTTCAGGACACTGAGGTTATAGACATAATAAAGAAGAAATTATAAGAAAACATAAGAAATTACATTTTAATTCTACATAGAAAAATGAAAATTAAAAATATATATAAGTATGTATATATGTATATATATACATGTATATACATATATACATACATACATGTACAAAAAACACATATATATTTATTTTAGGAGTCTTGAATTTGAAACTTTAAATCTTACAAATATTTCATTTTAAGAAGTAATATGTAGATGTATTTAACAAAAATTAATTTTCAAAGACTGAGAGTACTATAAAATTGAACCATGAAAATTTTTGCCTAAAACACAAAATGTATACCTAAATGATGATCCTATTTATGCATACAAAGACATATTCTAATTTTAACACATATACCTCCCCTATAAATACATACATGAAAATTACATATATGTGCATGTATGTGTGTATACATGCACATACAGATATATATGAACTGTATATAAGCTTTGGTTCACACATTACACTAAAGAAAAACTATCACAGTACATTTGAGTATGTTTGCTATACTATCGTTTATAATAGTGACAGCTATAAATAATTTTGAAAACCCACTTGTAAAAGATTTTTCTAATAAATATTATATAAATGTTTTGAAATCTATGCATCACTTAGAAATAATGAAGTAGAAAGTTTGCAAGTCTTGTTGGTAAATGGAAGAAAAAAGGAAAAAGAGAACAGTGAATTGCACAGGCAGTATACCATAGTGAATAAGATCACAGACTCTGGAATTAGACTCCCTGGGAGTGAATACTATTCTATCACTGACTAGCTGTGTTAAGGGTAAATTACCAAAGTACTTGTGCATTAGTTTTCTCATCAGTAAAATGAAATGAAGGTCAAACTAGTACTTACCTCAAAGATCAATTTAAGGATCTAATGAGTAGTTATACATAAAATAATTTAATAGTACCTGATATAAATCAGCATAAATCAATACCTGGTATAAATCGTACCTACTATCTAATCAGCATTAGATTAATGCTTATTTATCCACATGTAGAATGACCTAATTTATGTTCAAATGTACAGAGACCACAATACAAAGCTATTTATTTTATATGAACATAGATATTTATGCAGTACATAAGCATACAGAAAATGGCCTGTGAACATATATGCCAAACTGATAACGGTGTGTGATTTAAAAAAATTTTTTTTTCCAAATGGTGCATGTGTTCTCCATAGATAAACAAAAACAGAGGGAGAAGGAAAGTGAGAGAGAAACCCCATGAGGAAAAGTCAAACTCTGATCCTTTCTCCACCATTTCTCCCTCCTTTTGCGATTTTTGGTATGTACATACATGCACCTGTCACATTTCTTAAACTGCCAGGCCCATGACTCGAACTACATTGTTGGCCCTGGGGGTTCCAGCCTCCCCAACCACCATGCCATTGGCTGGCCCAATAGTATGTAACTTTGACATTAAAGAAAATGCTTCTTGTTTGAGTATTTTACATGGAAAATATAATTTATATATTACTTCTGTGATTAAATGTTAAATACGTGTTTACATCCATTTAACATAATACTATGCAAATGTGAAAAAGAGTAACATAGCTAGTCACTACGCTATTATGATGTTCATGCACATATCATCCAGTGCAAACAAGTAAATCAAAAGATAGCATTAACTGTGCTAATATTAATTTACTTATTTAAAATTGTGTGGCTGTATTTGTATATAGAATGTAATGTGATACTATTAAAAGCTCAACTGGCTAAGTGCTTTTGACCTTTATATATATGTAATATATACATACATATTATATATATATAAATATCTGTATATATGTATACATATATACACATATATACGAATGTGTGTGTAATTACACATACACATATAGTATAAATATATTTATTATGTAAATATAAGTATGTACTCATACTGTTGAAATTTTTCATGAATACATGTCTCATTTTTTAAGAAACAACTATGAAAGCTATGTAGTTGTAAACAAAGAAGGCAACAATGAGGCTAGCCAATCACACGCTATCATGCAATATCCTGCATTCAGTATGTATGTACTGAGAGCACAGCCAAGTCCCGTCAATGAATGAAATGAATAGAAAGGATACAAATGTACTTACCCACCAAACACCTGGAGTGCAGAGAATTTGGAAGCATCCAAATCATTGCCACTTACTATCCGAGCCTTAAATGAGGGATGAGAAAAACAAAACAAAACAAAACAAACCAGCTTTTAGCATACTACAGCTGCATGTATGTGAACTTGGGACATGGGTTAACTGCACTACACACGGACACCTAGTATGACAGATGCTAAGCAGGGTCAGCTCCAAGTCAAAGCTACTATGTTTTGGGGAGTGGAGGTTTTGAAATTAGCTATCAGCATTAAAACAAAAGCACTGTTTTGAATACTATTTGCCCTTAAAACTTGATATGTGCAGTGAAGATCATGAATCGGTCAAGAAGGTCATGATTAGCCATACTTGAGAACAGATGCCGTGTTTGACAGTAGCAGACCCCTCGGCTGGCAAGTGTAAGCTAAAGTAAGCGCAGCTGGCAGGGGGTAACCTCTTCATAAATGCAACATCGAGGGGCACACTTAAAGGACAACCAAGGAATGGAAAGCTGGGGTAACATGCACATTTCACAACTAAAACAGAGGAACCAAAACAAGTCTAATATGTCACAAACAAACATATACAAAAGACAAGGTCCCTCAGGAGGAAAGAAAAAGTATGATTTAAAACCTTTTCATCCACAGAACTGCTATCTGAAAGAGAATCAGGAAAAGAAGGGATATATGTTAGATGGAGTACTTTTCAAGAAATCATTTAAACATATACATGAATAAAATGTTAATAGATTGCATTTTTTTAAAAATCATATATGTATTGAGTTTCAAGGCTGAACCCCAAGGAGACAGGGACAGTTGGTCCTTATAATTTAAAGAGCTGAAATATGTAACAGAATGCTTGAAAAGTATGAAAGGGTGATCACAGGATTTAATGAAACACAGCATATCATATTAAAGAAAAACACAGTTGAAGAATCAGAAGTCCTGGACTGCAGCTGGGGCTCTGCCACTTTCTAAGTATTGGGTCATCAGGAAAGTCATGAGGTGTTTTTGCACAGACACATGACTTTCCCGACAGTCTAATATAGCTAGGAAACAATCAAATTCTCTTAGGGCTAGTGATGGGACTTAACTCTGAAATCAGGCCAGAAATCCTTTGCCTAATTGCCTCCCAACACTGTAGAGGGGATCAAATTGAGATCAATATTTGTGACCTGAAATCTCAGATGATCATATAAAGTCATTATATTATTAAAGGATTTCATAAAATGATTATTTCTTATATCATAGAATTTAAGAGCTAAAAGAATAAATTGATCCTATCTGGGAACCAGCAGTTAGCGTAATGGCTATGTCGCTGGACTCCCACGTAGTCGACCGCGGTTTGCGTCCCGGACCCGGTGGTTTAAAACTCACGCCGGGCGCATGTGCGTGCGTGCCCAAGATCCCGAGAGGAGAATGGAAGAGAAAGGATTGCGGTGTGACCATCCCCCCTGGGGGGGGTGATTTCTCGCTTTCTGTCTCTATGTCTCTCTCTGTCTGTCTGGCGAGCGCATGCGCCCTATAGCGAAAAAC